TTTCGTTTGACATCCCGTGATAATCTCGAAAATTGAGATAAAAATAAGAAAAAAATATTTATATATTTTGGAAAGGTCTATTTTGACGCATGGTAACTTTTGCTACAGTTGGCCGTTTCGCACGCGGTTAAGAATGCGATAAAGTAGGTCGTGAGTACTTTGAAATGGTGTTAATAATGTAATATTTCGACTTCGTTTAACATTCACGTATTAATTTTGAAATTAGAGACAATAAAGTAAGGAAAAAAGGCGAAGGGGTTGGCTGTGTTGCATGGGTGGGTGGGTAAAGGGGCGGGTTAGTGACGGTCAAGTGTCAGGAAATAATGAAAATTTCAGTGACACATCAGATTTTTTAAAATTCTGTAGGAGATCTGTGAAAAAATTTCGGTACTCGTAGCATTATCATTCTCGTATTCATTTTCAACCATATATTTTTCAATGAAATAATATTTTCCATCACATCAATAAATTTTCCTTTTTTTTCAACCACACATTCTCTATCAATCTACTATTCCAAAATAATGTGGCTCAAACACTTACACACCCATGATGAAATTACCTCCTATTTGATTTACTTAAAATTTATATTTTTTGTAGATATTGATAAGAATGCCAATTAGAATGCCAATTTGACGTGAAAGTGATGCTCTAATTTCTCTCCAAATTAGAATAATATATGGTTCAGCTTTTTACTTACATGTTTATAAGTAAAAATGGCAAATTTAAAAGTAAACGTTAAAACTCGTGGATTTCATAAAAATGTGTGATTAAAAATAAATGTATGAATAATGAATTTTAAAAAATTGGAACCAAACAAGGATTAAATGATCTCTATTATTACGGCAAGCAAGTCTTACTTGCAAAAGCAATCAACACTAATAGGAAACGTAAGGGTATCTCCAATCCAATTTCAAAATGGCCTATAAATGCCAAGTTGATGTGAAAAATGATGCTCCGATGGGATTTCAAATTTTCAATTTTAATTATACTACAATAAATTTTAATTTCTATTATATCCTATTTATATTCTTTATAACTTAATTATTTAATTTAATTTATATTTATTTCAATTTATTATTAAATGACAGAAATAGTTGGACTTTATGTTTGTTTCGTGAATTTTTTTATATTATATGTATTTTTTTAATATTGTGATTTTAAATGTCATATTTTTAGTTAATTAAATATAATTTTTAATTAGTAGTTCTGGTAGTAATGAAATATGCAACTATATAATTTTTGAAATAAATTTGTTGTTGAGAACTAAAAAATAATGAAAGAAAGGAAATATTTGTTTTGTGTAACATTTGGTGTATCGAGTTGTAGACAATTAAATAAAATCATTATTCAAAAATATATTTTTCTATGAAAATGGGGCTCAAACAAGCCTTCAATGTACTTTCAAGTTGTTACGTTTTTTGTTTGTGATAATATTTTTTTATAAACTGGACTTAGGGCTGTCCGTGTGTTGGTTCGGTTCTTTTCAGATCCGAACTGATCCAAAACTTTCGGGTATTTAATAAATGGAATCGTCGGATCCAAATATAATTATGAAACCGTTCGGGTTCGGTTCCGTACCATAATTAATTTTTTTTAATATTTACAGCAACATTACATAAATACAACTAATAACATTTCATTCGTAACTTTTACAAATTAACGTAACTCAATTCAAAAACATATAAATGGCTAGTCGTCAAATAAGATTAATTCAATATATACAAATAACAAAAAGTAGATATTAATATTACATCAAAACTATATAAAGTAAATTCATTTACTTCAAATTAAAATGAGTTAATGAGTTTTAAAAATGATTTGGGTTTTAAAATTAAAATTACGAAATAATCTGATTTATTTAATTAATTTGCTAATTTGTTTAAAAAGAAATAAAATAATTTAATTAATTCAATATAAAAAATAAAAAAAATTATTTAGTTTCGGTTATTCGATTCTTGGTCTAGACCCGTAACCCGACCCAAACCCATCAGTTTTCGATTCGGGTATACGTTCAAATATTTAACATATGAAGAACCACTCGATTCGATTCGATTCAGTTCGAGACTTTTGGACATCCCTAACTGGACTCGTAAGAATTCTATTATCCCATCTAACTCTAATCTACCAACCCAAATTCCGTCTCAAAATTAATGGACAAAGCCTTGCATGTGACGTCTCATAAGATATTGTCTTCAATTGAAGTCAACTCAATAGCAAATTTCATGGAGGAGACACAATTGTTTATTTCTTAACAATTTTATACTTAACCATTTATAACTACCTTAACCATTGAAGAAATCATGTATAAAATACCTAAATGCACAGCCAAATACTAAGGAAAAGAAACATAATTAAAAGAGAAGGCCTTCATTCTTTGAAGAAGGGGTCTTTGTCTCTCGAATAATTCAAGAATGTCTGCAACAAAAATCGACTCTTGGACACATTATTTTCAAACGTTGATTTTTTATTTTTTCGAGTCTCTTCAGGACTTGAAAGAAATTACTAAGACTTTAGAATTGCCACCAAATCCTTGTATCTCACTTTTAATTAATTTTTTTTGTCATTGCAAGATCATGAACAGATTTATCAAATGGAGGAAAAGCAACAATTTGAACACAATCATACATTTTTAGTCAAAAAGGAGGTGGAAGAGGTCAATGAGAAGGAAACTACAACCTAGAGATGTTCCAATCTTACACTCAAAACTGACCTATCTACAACAATTAACCAATGAATGTTTGGTAGGGATTAAAATCTTGAATTCAATCTAAGGGTGCGTTTAATTGTAAAGATGAAAAATTGGTGGAAAAAAAATGAATTCTAAGAAATTGAATTGTCTAGAAATTGTTTTACCGAGAATTGTAATTAACTGTGTTTCATTGGTATAATTTTTCACCTGAAAAATGTTGAAAATTTAATGTCCGATTGACTTTGTTTTTCATGGAAATAATCAATTAAAATAATAATTTTTTACCATTGGATTTAGAATTTGTTCCAATTGCAAAAAATAAAATAAAAATTACCATATCTAATACCATTCGTTTGACTTTGTTTTGCATGGAAATTGTTAATAAAATTGATAAAGTTGTTTACCATTGGGTTATGAATTTTTTTCAATTACCAATAATAATAATAATAAATAACATCAGCATACTTGGAAACCATTTTTCCACCTAAATGTTGGGAAAATGGTTTCCTTAATTTGGTGGAATTGGTGCACGGGGCGGGGCGGGGCGGCACGGGACGAATTTTTCCATCAAAGTCAAAGTCAACAATTAACTTTAATAAAACATTTCATAGGATCCACAACTTTTTAACCATATATTCATTAACTTTTATCAAAATCTGCTAAAAATCTAAATTTAATCTCCACCAAGCAAGGGTTTAATAAATCTTTAAACTTCTTGTTTCAGCCGAACTTAAATCCTTTTTAGTCAAGCTCCAACAAAAATGGGAGAGAACACGTGTGCGATTAAATCACACTATCAATGCTACTACGTGTACTATTGAAGAAAATATTCAGCATGCTTTGAATCAAGCAATGAAACTAGATCACCCCTAGAAGCAATGAGTTTAACATAAGAAAAATGCTTCAAGTACAGATGAATTTTGCAAGGCTTTTATCAGAATTTTGAATTCCCACTCACATAGAGTGGACCCATGTATAAAATATTGAAAAAAAAAAATTCCCCCCCCAACTGTTGCGTCTATGCTGTAAGTACAGAGATTTTGAATTCATGTACTTGTAGCAAAGTCCTTAACATAATCCCAATAGAAAGAACGAGCGAAGCTTTTTTCTTCACCTCGAAAATTTATGCTATGTTACAGTCTCATAGACACAACAATACACGGTCTTAGATATTTTATCTCAAGGTTCTCTAACTCCCACTGCCATACTGATGTAAACTGGGCCGATTGTCCAATTACCCAATGGAGCATTCCATTCTCTATTGCATTTTTCTTGGCTCTAATTGCATGTCTCGAGTATCAAATAAATAATTGAAATAACTTGGCTTCAATATTATCCTCTACACTAGGTCAAACATCAATCATTGTTGCCATACACATCTCCTATAATTCGATATTTCATGCTCGCACGAAACCTATAATACTTTACTATCACTTCACTCGTGAAATGACTGTCAATGACGCAAAACATGTTCAACAAATACCCAATCTAAGCGAGTCGTTGATGTCCTTACAAAAGTTCTACCAATTGAGTCTTTTGAAAATATTCCTTTTAAACTCAGCGTTCATTCCATGTCACCAACAAATTTGATTTGGTCTTCAACAAATCATCTCATCTTGTTTTCAAAAACAACTCAATAGGGCATATCATCTCATCTTAACAAATTTGAAAAAAAAAAATTGTGTATAAATGCACTCATAACAATTTACATCCGTTTGGTTAATATAGAAATGATTTATAAATTATCAAATTTCATTTTCAACTATACATTTTAATGGATCCACAAATAATATTCAATTATTAACCATTAATCTCTATCTATTTATAAATTCTCCCCAATTCATCATCATTTTGCATTTATTTTCCTTTTATTGAAATTATGAAATTTATACTTGAAAAAATAACTCGAGAAAGTGATAGTCCAATGACAACGGTCAATCTTACATGAAGGTGAAACATGCTAGTTTCAGGCTACTTCGCTATAAATCTTGCACAAAGTCGAATTTGTGCAGAACATGATCTGAATGCTCTGACTTAATCGATATTATATAAAACACATTTTCATTTACTTACAATGGAAAGCTTTCAAGTATTTTACTATGTAAATAACTCATTATTTGATTGGAAATTAGATTTAATAAAATTAAAAATCCGATTGAAATATTCTTTACCATTTTATTTTATTATATTATAAGAAGCAATTACATTAAAAAAAAAAAAAAAGGACACTAAGGGAAGGAACCATTTTACTTGTCCCTTTAAAGAAATTCCTCGACGCTACAGCGTTATTATGTCAGCAAGCACCGGAATCCTCCTGTCGTTATCTCTCTGATATACACTCATTCAAGCCTCAGAGGTATTTTCTCCATCAAAGATCTCTTTCTTGTCTTTCTCTAGCATCAATCTGTGATCTGTGCTATGGAATTTGAGTTACGAAGCTAATCGTCCAATTCATTTTATGTATCGATTAGAAATGTAATTTTCTTTTTTGTCTTCTTCCGTTTTAAAGATTTTAGTACCTTATCGAGATCTTACTGCGTTATTCTCATATCATATTTGATATAAAATGGATTTTTTTATCCATTCCTCGCACCTTTTGCATTTCATTTCTTGCTAAAATTTTGAAATTGGTTTTTAGGGCCTAAACTAAAATTTAGGGCTTTACTGTTTTTCATCCAAAGTTTGATTCTTTATGTCAGTTAACTTTTCAATCTTATGTTTTTTCACGCTACAGGTAGCAGATTTGTGCAAGGGTGGTGGAAGGTTCGAAAATTAACGTCCAGCTATGGTTTGTATAACTGCATGACGTGATTTTAGTCTTTTACATAAGAGTATATTATCGGAAAAGAGCGTGTTCTTTCATCTTGGTGGGAGAAAAAGGGAAGGGAATTGAGTAGGGGGATCTGGGAGCTTGGTAATTTAGTCGAGGTTTTGTGTTGATCAGAATCTTTAGTAGGACTGTTGTGTAGTGGTTAAATGGAGCAAGGTTTAGGTTCAAATTCGAATCCTTCGTCGGGGTCAATTGATAAATCTAGGGTTTTAGATTTGAGGCCATTGAGATGTCTTGTACCAGTTTTCCCAAACCCTCCTGGCATGTCTTCAGTTACGACCCCCCAGCCCTCACCCTTTGTATGCACTCCACCTACTGGTCCTTTTCCACCTGGGATCCATCCGTTTTACCCATTTTTTAATCCAAATGATTCTCAACAGAATCTGAACCCAAACACATCTGGTGTATCAAATCAGCCTGGGAATCATGCTTTTGGTAATTCCATACCAGCTCCTGTTCCATTGAATTCATTTAGAACACCAACGCCCCAAGCGAATGGGGGTACTCGGCAGTCTGTGAGGGGCTCTAGAGGTCATACATCAGAATCTGTAGTTGTAGAGGATGATGATTACGATGACTCTCAGAATCAGAGTGGCCAGCATGTGAGTGGATTTAGTCAGCATGACACAGAGGATGACAGTACTACTAGGAAGCGAAGGGGCCGTCCAAGGAAGAGCAATGCGGGTAAGAGCAGAGATGAGCATGGAGATAGCTTTGATGTTGAATCACTAGTTAATAAATTCTTGACATCCTTTAAGCTTAAAAGTTTTGATGATGTGAGAAGAGCTAATGGTGACAAGGAGATAGTTGATAACATCCTGTTGGTGTATGATTTGTTACGGAGAAGGCTTACCCAACTTGAAGAAGTGAAGGATAAGTCTCCAGGGATTACTAGACGTCCAGACCTGAAAGCCGCTTCACTCTTGATGACCAAAGGTGTTCGGACAAATAACACGAAGAGGATTGGCCATGTGCCTGGAGTGGAAGTTGGTGATATTTTCTTCTTTAGGATGGAGCTTTGCATCGTCGGATTACATGCTCCAAGTATGGCTGGAATAGATTATATGAACATGAAAATTACTGTGGATGAAGAACCTGTGGCTGTAAGCATTGTTTCATCTGGAGGATATGATGATCTGGGAGATGATGGGGATGTCTTGATTTACAGTGGCCAGGGTGGAGTGCAGAGAAGAGATAAACAAATGTTTGATCAGAAACTTGAAAGGGGAAATCTGGCCCTAGAAAAGAGTTTGCATCGTGCAAATGAGGTGAGAGTCATCCGAGGTATAAAGGATATTACCGCTTCAACTGGGAAGATATATGTTTACGATGGCGTGTACAAAATTCAGGAGTCATGGGCAGAAAAAAACAATTCTGGATGTAATGTTTTTAAGTACAAGTTGGTTAGAGTACCTGGGCAACCTGAAGCTTTTGCGTTGTGGAAATCAATTCAGCAGTGGAAGGACGGAACTGCTCCGAGGAGTGGGGTCATCCTTCCTGATTTAACGTCAGGAGCAGAGCCTCTGCCTGTCACTCTTGTGAATGATGTTGATGATGAAAAGGGACCTGCTTATTTCACATATATTCGTAATCTCAAGTACTCCAAACCTTTTTCCACATCCAAGTCTTTTTCGGGATGTCAATGCATTGGTGGATGTCAAGCAGGTCATACCAGCTGCCCTTGTAGTCAAAGAAACGAGGGATATCTCCCTTATTCATCTCTTGGAGTTCTTCTGACTGACGAACCCTTAATATATGAATGTGGAGAAGCTTGCGCATGTCCTCCAAACTGCCGGAACCGAATGTCTCAGGCTGGTCTGAAAGTCCGTTTGGAGATCTTTAAGACAAATGACAGAGGTTGGGGACTTAGATCTTGGGATCCCATTCGTGCTGGAGGTTTTATCTGCGAGTATGCAGGTGATGCCACAGATAAATCTACATTAGGTGATTTTGGGAATGACAAGGGAGATAATTACTTTTTTGATGCTACTCGTTCCTATGAGTGGTTGGAAGCTCTGCATGATGATTCTAATGGTTCTACAAAAGTCCCCTTTCCCCTTGTTATAAGTGCAAAAAATAATGGCAACGGAGCTCGATTCATGAATCATAGTTGCTCGCCAAATGTGTTTTGGAAGCCAATTTTACGTGAAAGTGCTAATGAGTCATACCTCCATATTGCTTTCTTTGCAATCCGACATATTCCTCCCTTGCAAGAGCTGACGTTTGATTATGGGATGGTTCAACCAGAGAAAGGAGACTCTGGAAGAAAAAAGTGCTTGTGCGGATCTGTGAAATGCAGAGGATACTTCTACTGATGACACCTGGTGAAAAATAGATCATTGTGCTTGAGGCCCTTGGGGAAGGTTAGTGATTTATAAATTCTCTGATCTTTGAATTATCTTAATTGATTGCATGCTCCCATCTAGATCATTTTGTTCTCTTTTTTCTTTCTTTCTAGAAATGCTTGATTGTTGCCTAGAGTCTGTTTATCTAGCAGAATTTGAAAGAGAGTTCAAGAATTATGATACTCTATTTCATTGGATTTTTTAGTTTTATTAAAATCATGTGAGAATTTTAACTCAGCAGAGCAAAATACTGTTGTGGAAAGATAATACACATTTTCAGACATTTCCAGCCAAATAAAATGCAAATTTTTTTCAAAAGCTTACGAGCTAAAATAATTCCTCATTTTGAAAATCTCGAGATATCAGTTCCTTTAAAACATACAACCCCCCACGGAACTTGGACCAAAGAATAGTTTTTCATCTGGCGATTATAATAAGCATGCATATTTCTCGTTTCAGTATCTTTAATGTGTAGAAATTACAATAAATCTGCTGACTGATAAAAGATGCTTCTGCAAACTCTTCAGGCTTGATATTATCGGCAATAAATTGTAGTTTCGTACCTGTCAGGTGTTTGTTCTACAGTATTAGCTATCAAGCTTTAGGTTTTCGTTACCAAGCTGCTTCCATTTTCACTCAGTTCACCGGATGTTGATGGTAGGAAAGAGCTGGCCATAGACTGTAATAATCTTATGTTGTAGGTATGCATATGAACCAGAATGTTTTTTTTCCACTGTAGCAATGGACTCACTTTTAAGCTTGTAATTCAACTGAAGTTCTTTTTTCTACTGGGAATGAAACTAAGTTTTCTGTAATCTTGTGAAGTTTTAGAATACTAGCTTGGAACTCGTTGAAGTTTGATTCATTGTTATATTTTGTTTATAGCTTTGATTAGAAAGATACGAGTCCTTTTGACAACGTTGTATTGAACGAGATAGGATGAGAATAAAGAAGAAAGGTACGCTCGCAGTTTATGAGTTGATCGGTCTGCCCAGTTGTGGGATCAATTCTAACGTTAAATCGGTTCATCTAATGAAACTTATTCACCAATATCAATTTGATAGATGTAGGATTTGTGCAAGTGACCCTTCTATGGTAGTACTTTTTGTTGGATGCGTGAAGTACATTTTTCTCTATTTATAATGGGCGAACAAAATGGAGGGACATGGATTTATATGTACAACTCTTGATGCCACCTTGCTACATAGAAACATTTATACTTTTTAGAACACTATCTTGAAGTGTCTTTGCCTTTTTTTTTTTTTTTTGCTATTCCATGCAGAGTATTACATTGAAATCAAAATATATTTTTTCGTTTGAAATGAAATTAAAGTATAGTTGCTCAATTGAATAAAATTAAAGTAAAATTACTCGATTAACACTAAGTGAAATTAAGTTACCGCAAATAGAATTTAACAAGTTAAATAGCTTAAATATTAGTAATTCACATTTGTTAATAAGATAACAAGGCAAGTTAAGTATGGACGTATTAAAAAAATTAAGAAATCAAATATATTCTCAACAAAAGAAAGTGACATATATCAAACGAAAAAAGAAAACAAACTTACGAGGAAATATTAATATAAGAAAATGATTGCAATATGCCAAGATTAAGAATATTTGTTTTGACAAGAGGATTCTCATGTCCGAATTACTATTCAAAGCCAAATGGACACACCTTTCAAGATTAATGAAACGTATTTGGACCAACAAGAAGCAAAATGCATACTTAGCAAGACATTAGGAGGCATCTGATTAAAAAGGAGCGAGTCAGTCTGTGACCCTAATGATGAAACCATCCAAATTGTTCGAAAACCCTCGTAAGACACGTCCCGCTTTAAATTTCTAGACACCAATTCAAGATGTTACTCACGAGTCACAACATTAGCATAGATGTACACAATTTTCATCGTTGGATTTACGAATTGATTTTGCAACTACAACGGATGATTATTAGAGCATTTGAATAGTAAAAACATGTTGTTGAGATTAAGAAGGTGCCTGTTTTTAAATCTATCTGAATAATTTTTTGAAAGTATTTTGTCTGATTAGAAAAGTTTTTAGAGAAAATTGATTTCAATAACTTCATTAGAAATCTCTTCTACAAAAAATAGAAGAAAAATAGAAAAAACTCGCTCATTTGTTAAAGTTCAACCCTAATAATTTCGGAATAAAATAGGGTCATATTGTAAATATTTATTTTTTCTTTCCAAGTCAAAGAAAACGAGATCCAAATGTTGTAATATCCGTAGATCCGCCCCAGCAGCTAAATTTGCCAGAAAGAGAGAGAGAGAGAAGGAGGTAGTTAGTTGACAAGAGAAACTAACAGAAACTCAATTGTGGACAAATTACAACATGTCCCCAACCTATGCAATGATAATAATTTAGTCTTCAATCTTTAAAATGGAGTACTTGAGTGCAAACAATCAGTTTCCAATTAAGAGAAATGTTCAAATCTTTATTAAATCATCAAGTGGGATTGGAGATTCTTTTTAAGCCACTAGATTGGTTCACAAACAAACATGCTCTAAATTTTAATTTTCAACCTAGGCTAATTTCGTCAATTTGAAACGACGGACGAATCATTGAGAGTTTCATGTCGAGTTAACGAACATTTGGATAATTTCCTTTATCGATGATTGATTGAAGCGAGATGATTACATGAAGGCCGAGGATTGGTTGAAGTAAAGATAATTTCATGAGGCTCTATCGTAATGAGTTGATCAATGTTTGTTTTAACAAAAAATCAGATATTTAATACATTTTGATAATAAAATGTGTGATTAATTATTAATTTAAAATTTTATCAATTTTTTTAGTTAAACCAAGCAGGGGATTGGACAATTTCATACGTCGAATACTTAAATGTGCAACTCTAATGAAAGAATGACTAACTTGCTATTTTTGGGATTAAAGGTGTAATTTTCCCTATAAAATTGATCAGACAGAAAGAAAAGATAAATCAACAAACATATAAATTAACAAACAGAAACAGCATTTGAAGAATAGAGAGAAAAAAAAGAACCAATATTGTTCCAGGGACAATCCGTTTTCGTAAAGAAAGAGAGAGCAAAAGGGCAGCTGGTTCTTGATTACACCATTAACCTTCTTCCTTCGTTCTCTCTCTCTCTCTCTCTGCTTTTTGTCTCTCAAGAAAACACGTTTTCCCCCGTTTCTTGAAATTCAAACCTCTCTGTATAAACTACCATGCATGGTTTTGCAATAGAAATCTTGAAAAGGGACACGAGTTTTTAGAATTTTGATTCCTTTTTCTCACGTATCCTTTTGTGAAGAACCCAAAAGGAGAAGGAGAAAAAGGAGTTTCTGCGATTTGAAATAGGTTTTCATTATTTGGTTTTTTTGGGCCTTATTTTTTTACCTCCAAAAATCTATATGGACCAGGAAAAATCGAAACCCAAGAGGGTTTATCAAGTTTGGAAAGGAAGCAATGTAAGTCTTTGTTTTATTTCCTTCTTTTGATCGATTGCTTATTTTTTATGAAATGGGCATTTCTTGATTCTTATGTCCTTTTATGGTCTGATTGTTATTGTCGATGAGATGTGCATGTCTTGATTCTTATTACCTTTGATGGGCATTTCTTGATTCTTATTACGTTTGTTGAACAAAGAATTTTTTGTCGAAAAAAATGAGGGCTTTTCGAGAAAGTAATTTTGTTTTCATGCAATGATGATTGCTGGTTGCATTTATATTATAGATATAATAGCAATTTTGTTTAGAATTGAACCAAGATTATGTGTTTGAAAACTACATACGCGACTTCTTGATTCGAGGTTTTAAATTTTTGATGTCTTTAGTTTTGTGGAATACTAAATTTAATTGACTTGTATTTAACTCTGCTTTTGTGATCCTTCATTATGCCTTTCCTCCATCTGTAGGTTTTAGGGCCGTTTCTAGTAGTATCAATTCAAATTTCAATCACAAGAAAAACACAAAGAATTTTTTGCCATAAAAGACCGGATATTCAAGTGCTCTAAACACTACTCACCGTTGAGCCATCCGCTAAAGGGATATAATATATGCTCAAATCACTAGGCATATGCAAAAGTTGCAACATTCTATGTGTAGAGACCACACAAAGAGATCAAAGAACACCCACAAATGTGAACCCTCAAGTTACTGTTCATCAGCCTCTGCACAAACCTATCTTCCTCTATGTTATAATAGATCAGAAAAATCATCAATTAATTCCCAATAAATGAAGAATCAAACAAAGAAGAAGCTTTAGAGAGAGGAAGGTATATCAATCTGTTTGTCTAGAGAGAGAGAGAGAGAGAGAGAGAACGAGAGATGTGAAAAGCAGCAGCCTCAATCTGGTATGCAGGAATCCAAGCGGTTCCTTAATCCAATGGCCACTACCTCTCCACGTGTCAATATCATAAGTAAAGTTGCTACTTCACAAAGTTGCATCTTTGATAAACACGTTTTCTCTTTTAAGTTGCACAAATGAAGTAGCAACTTCCACATTCTCCACCTTGCTACAAAATTTGGATTTTGGCTACGCGCCTACACCAATATTGATTTTGGACAATACCATCAACTTTGATTTCATGTGCTCCACTAATGTACCTGCAAAATGAAAACAAGGAAAAATTAAACGGAGTTTATATTTAAAAGTTAGACAATCTCAAAACTTGTTAACAGGAAGAACTTTTGTTTCCATGTCTACGGGGATATATTGAGTAGGAATCTTCTCTAGTTTAATCAGGCCCTTTCCTACTAAGTCTCTGATAAAATTAAATTTTACATATATGTGCTTAGATCTATCATTAAGCATAGGATTCTTAGAAGAATTTAACTCTGATTTTCTGTGAAGATCATAATATCCTTATCCATGAAACCAAATTCATTTGACAAACCCCTTAGACATGTGCCTCTTTAGCTGCACTACATGCAGCAATATACTCCGCCTCAGTAGAGGACAGAGCAACTATCTATAGGAGCTGTGACTTCCAGCTTTCACAACTTATACAAGGTAAATGTGTAAGCTGAAGGTGATCTCCTTTTATCCACCTCACATGCAAAGTCTGAATTTTTATATCCCTCTATAAACTTTAAGCCTGAATATTGAGTTCCATTTAAGTATTTATGTAACCACTTCATAACAACTCAAAATATCTGCTTTTGCATAAGGAATTTGAGCTACATCATCAAACTCATCTTGTGATTTAAGTGATTGTTCATTTGATAGTTTATAATGGCTTCCTAATGGTACAAAAACATGTTTCGCATCAATCATAGAGAATTTCTTAAGCCTTTGTTTGATCCCATTATTTTCAAAATACATTTTTCGCACTCTTATTGTCAATTACACATTCTTCAACAAAATAATATTACACGCAAACTCAAAACTTTTTCTTATTTTTTAACAATACATTTTCCATCAAAATACTATTCTGAAATGCATTATTTCCAAAAGAATGGAGCTCAAACATGAGCTAAGTATTATTATGATATAATTCTTTTTATTTAAAAATAGAATATTATTAACTTTATCTCTATTTACCTGTACCCAAAATCCCCTTTTGCTGCCCAGAATCTTTCATTTCTAATTTTGATTTGATTTTTTACTTTATAATCTGTAATATTCTTTTATCATGACATGCTAGAACCATATCATCCACATAAAGTAAGAGATAGACATAATTTTCACCTCCAGACCTTTTATGAAACAAGCAAGCATCAAGATTACTCTTCTTAAAACCAATGCCCTGAATATAAAAGCCAAACCTCTTATACTAATAGTCTCGGGGTTTGTTTTAGACAATACCTCTCAATTTCAAACTCAATTGACTTTAACTTCACTCCTTTATTAGATTCAGAATAAGATTTGTACAAACAAGGTATCAATTCTTCATTAAAGATGAGACTCCTTTTAATTATGACTTTTAACCCCCTCTCATCTTTCACACGTAGCCTATAACCCCTTGGTACCTTCAGCATATCCTAGAAATACACGCTTAATAAATCTAGATTCAAGCTTTCCTATGTTTTGGTGTGCATCTGCAGCACACCCAAACACTTTAAGAATAGAGTAGTCAACTGGTTTCCCACTCCACATATGTTCACGTGTTTTAAAACCTATGGTTTTGGATGGACTCCTTTTTATTTAAAAAGTATCTTTTTTAACAGCTTCTCCCCAAAAAAGTTTGCGAAGACCTGAACTTAGCAACATGCATCTGACCCTATTCAATAAAGTTCTGTTCATCCTTTCTGCTGTTCCATTTCGTTGAGGGGTGTCACTGTTCTATATAAGCACATATTGCTGCTTTGTTGATTGTTATAGCAGGCAACTTTTTCTTGATTCAAGATAGTGCATTAATGTATATTGGAATAACAGTAAATGAATTTTGATCCCATAATTTGCAGAGCAATCATGCATTTAGATTTATATTCTTTCATTTTTGTCCTTTTGACTGTTCCAGAAGTTCTTATGTGGAGGAAGATTGATCTTTGGTCCCGAAGCAGCATCTTTGTTCTTATCCACATTCCTAATAGCAGGCCCAGCAATTGCCTTTTGTATAAAAATCTTGTATATCATCAAACTCAGGATCAAAGAAACTGAAAATGCCACTCCTTGGTATTCTCTATTTTTCGTGGGAATAGCACTAACTGTTTTGGTAAGTAAATTTTCACAGAAGTTGTTTTCCATATTTTCTTAAGCAATCTTTTACACATCCAAACTTCAAGTAGTGGGTATTTATATTCCATTTGAACCAATAAATATGAGTTTCTACATGTGGGAAATTATGATTGATGGAAAAATTTAGAAAAGACGAGTCAAATAGACAAATATGATGATGATTGAGAGTCCTGCTATTTGATATCTTTTCTGACATATGGATTTATCAAACATCATTTTCTATAATACTCTTGATGTGTGTAATTAAGTTCTACAGTGTATTCAACTCAGGCGGTCAATTCATTTAACTGCTTTGTAGTTGATATTCATAGGGCTGTGTTTTCTTTTCTTATACCTTTTAACTTATGGGAGCATAGTGGGAGAAATATATTATTATATTGTTATTATTCTTTAAATCCTGCAGTTATTTTTTATAAGTTAAATATTTGCTACAACTTTGGTTGATAGCCAGCTACTATCAATGTGATTTGTTGCAGGACATGTTCTTTCTCTTCCTTACATCCAGTAGAGATCCAGGAATCATCCCTAGGAATACAATACCTCCTGAAGCTGATGAAACATTTGATCTAAACACAACTTCAATGGAGTGGGTTAATGGTAGAACCCCTCATTTGAAACTTCCCCGAACAAAAGATGTGCTGGTGAATGGTCACACAGTTAAAGTGAAATTCTGTGACACGTGTTTGCTTTATCGTCCTCCTCGTACATCTCATTGTTCCATCTGCAACAACTGTGTCCAGAGATTTGATCACCACTGTCCATGGGTCGGTCAATGCATTGGTTTGGTAAGTATTCTAACATGCACTGACCAATGTAGACATTCAGCTTCGTTTGAAGATAAACAGTCGATCCTATCGTGGCCATTTTTTCTTTTAAATATACATCATGTAATTTTTTGTGTTCAAAAATCAATATCATTGGAAATTTAACTTGTTGAAGATCCTGTTTTATAGTTATTTTAAGTAGTGGACATTTTTGTTCTCGTTTTGATTCCCAGATCTTGTATTGTACTGCATTTTCCTTTAATTAACAAGGGCTTGTCTGTTGTATGATTGCAGCGTAATTATCGGTTCTTCTACATGTTTATATCAACGTCGATGATCTTATGCTTATATGTCTTTGTGGTTTCTTGGATTGACATCATTCAACGAAAAAGAAGAGTGTGGCACACCATGTCAACTGATATTTTATCAGATGTTCTCATTGTATACTGCTTCATTGCATTTTGGTTTGTTGGAGGCCTTACCGTTTTCCACTTCTATCTGATTAGCACAAACCAGGTAATCGTCCTTTCAAAATGCATATGAACAAGCTATTTGAAAGTTCCTATATCTAGCCTCAAATGATGCCAATAATTCTCAACATTCTGGCAATTGATACTCAATTTATGCGTTGTATAAACATTTAATTCTAGTTCTTGTGCAGACTACATATGAGAACTTCAGGTATCGATATGATATGAAGGAGAATCCGTATAACAAAGGATTGATCAATAACATCAAAGAGGTCTTTTTCTCTAAAATCCCACCTTCATCGAATGATTTCCGAGCCTATATTCAAGAAGATGATATGGAACTCGCTCATCATAAATCCATTGGAAGTATCAATAGTTCAATGGAAAAAATCGATATTGAAATGGGAGTCAATTTTGGTGAGGATAATGGCCTTTCACTACCAGAGATTTTACGTAATCTTGAATGTGATGAAATTGAGGATAGTATGAAACAGAGGGATAGGAGCGGAAGAACTGATTCTGACTTGTTGCTTCCCATTGAACAAGAAGTGGAAGACTCAGCGATTAGCTCCTCAATCAAAGTTGAGGACAATGCAGCGGAGAAACTTGATGGTGTAACAGGAAAGACATGAAAACGAGGTATTATTCTTTTTCTCCTCTCTACTATATGACTTCTGCAGTTTTTCTATTTCAGCTTATGTGTTTTTCAACGTATTGTCATCGCCACTGAAAGCAAAACAAAAACATGAAAAGTTTTTCCTCCCAGATTTAGTGACAACTAAAGCTTGCATGCTATTCCATCATTAAGAGCAAGTTAGCATCAACTTCGATTTTTTTCAAGAGTATCTAAAACTTTAATTTGCTCCTGAGGTTTCATGAATCGAGCAATTTGTCTGTTGAAAGAAAAAGCAGTAGGAGAAATGTAAATGAGACAAACACGCTCTTAGTTGTTGAAGCCATTTATGATTATTGATTACAATTTATTTTCATAAATTGAAGTCAGATTTTATTTTTATTTTGACAGGTTGAGTATGGGGAAAATCCTTGTCCCATGAATATTTGCATGCTTGTGCTGAAGTTATTTTACTTCAATGATGGCAGTGTTTGGTTCTGGCTTCCATCGACTTTAAGATCCAAGGTTCCAGCACGCATTTCCAGAGCATTCATTACGCTCTACTCGACGCTACTGTGAAAAAGATTTTAATTTCTCATTATTTCTTTTCAAATATTGTTCAACAAATTTATAATCCACCTTACAATACATGTCACCAGAGTTACGGGGTGATATCGTTAATAATGACTCACGATCTTGCAACAAAACGAGAGAGGATCCTTGTAATGACATTTAGTAAGGTGGATTGGATGGGATCGAACAGTATTAGGAAATCAAATAAAATTAAAGTTTGTTTACTATACTGTTCAATCTCGTCTAATATTACGTACAAAACACGTCCTAGGAGTGAAAATATGTAGTGATTTCTTTATCTTTTGTTTTTGTGGCATTGAATTTTTTTGTTCTCTTCAAAATTGAAGAGAATGTTAGGAATATATATATATATATATATATATATAT